GGCCGGCCACAGTGCAGCCGTCATTCGGCTATCTGCGGTCGGCAACTAGTTAAGGGGGATACGATCAACATGTATAAATACATCAGTGGTTCATATAGTGAACTCTGTGTTGACCTCAGGGTGAATAGCTCTACACCGAGGACAAGGGGCACTCTATGTCTGGAGGAAAAGAAATTTAATCTCCAAACACGGAAAGGTTTCTTCTTCCCAGTGAGAGCTGTGAAAATGCGGAATAGACTCCCTCAAGAGTTGGCTCTGGCCAGCTCAGTGGATTGCTTCAAAAAAAAAAAAAAAAAAAAAAAAAAAAAAAAAAGGCCTGGATTCTTTCTTAGATACACAGAATATAACTGAATAGTAACATTTATAATTAAAATTGATCCAGGGAATATCAGATTGCCTCTCGTGGGGATCAGGAAATAATTTTTTTTCCCAGCAGGTGCAAATTGGATTGTGCTTTGCTGAGTTTTTTTTTTTTTGCCTTCCTCTGGATCAACAGTTGGTATAGGATAACTTTTTTTTTTTTTTTATGGTTGAACTGGATGGACTTTTGTCTTTTTTTCAGCCAGACTATGTAACTACGATCACAAGACACCTGTGGGATCAGATAAAGGACTATTTGGCCAATACGGATACCCATAAAGACACCAACATGGCTAAACATTTTGTGCATTGCCACGAGTCTGGATTACAGTCTTTTAGAGTATAAATCATTAAAGAGTTGACAACCCTAAGAGAGGGAAGGGACTGTTTTTCACTTCTCTGCAAAAGAAGTTTTTTTTTTTTATATATATTTAAGTTCGACATTCAAATTCCTAGGGGTTTAAATCATGAATGGGTTGTCACCCATTACTATGAGTGAGACACTGTGTGCCCCTCCCCTTTCCTTCCAGTTTTAAGATTTTTTGATTAAACTGGATTTTGTCTATTTTTTTTTGTAGGGATCTGCCTGAACAGACTGAATTCTGTGATGTATATTTTCCTGGACCAGTACCCCCTACTTAATTGTCCACAGGCATAGCACACTTTAAGCTATGCCTAACTTTCTGGCAACATACCGAGTTTGGGGACCTGGGTCATCTCGAAGACCTTCAGTATTGTTTTAGTTTGCTATGTTCTAAGGTTTTTGACATTGGGCTTATACTGTTTAGGCTTCTACTGAATTTGACTGATTGTTCCTGTAAATTTTGTGCATTTTAATTTATTTGTGGTGTTTCGCATGCACAAAAGATTTGATGTGATGCTGTGAGAAGAGGGGTGGATTTACTTCTTATTCACTCAGCTGCATCAAATACCATCACATCCATATAACCCTGGTTTAGACTGTCACTCTTACCTCTACGATTAAGCCCGAGGGAGAGTGAAATATGTTAGAATTATGGCAGACGAGAGGAGACTGAGCAGAAGCAGATCTTCTAATGATCAATCACTAGGCTGAAATTTAATGGGTAGCTCTACTTCTCAATTGAGATTTGTGCTATTGAGCCAGACGGGCTGTTTTGAGCATCAACATCTGGCAGTGTTTTTGAGTTGGCAAGTGGATATGTGCAGCAATACCTTTTAAAAGGGGGAATACTCTTAAATTAGCCTCAAGCCAGTAGGTTTTGGACCTACTCATCTGCAAGCTCTCCCTGCCAAACATCACTCCATCCAAGTAGGGGAGCACCTTCATAGCAAGGAGAACTTGTTTCCTGCTTTGGAGTCCATGTCTTCTTGCAGAAGGAGTTGGCAAAAGGAATTTTTTTTTGACCTAGGGGGCATCTGGCTTATGTACTATGGCTCACTGGCCTAGTGCATAACCCAGAAAATTAGTTTAGTTTATTGTATAAAGTGATATACTCACAAAAGGATAAAAAAAAAAAATCAAAAAGGCACTACACGACCTGAGTCCTCGTGTAGGTACTGGCTCTGAGGAAGAGGCGTAGCCTTGAAACGCATTAGTAATTTGGAGGTCTATAAACCCCTTTTAGACACCATCCATGGAGATTGGAACATGCTGTATTTCATATGATGTGCCTTTGATTTTTATCCTTTTGTGAGTATATCACTTTTTATACATAAAACAAATTTTCTTAGGTAATGCACTACGCCAGTGCATCCTATTTTTTTTGTACGAAGTTCATTTGGATTGCCCTGGTCCATTGAGGGCAGGAAGGCGTGCATCCTATGTGTGGTTACAGTTGCTGCGGAGTCCATCGCCCAGCGCAGGAGTCAAAGCATTTGCTAGGGGTTTTTTATGTACTATGGCACCAGGATACTCTTGCACACAGTTACCTTTTGGATGTAATCATCCAGAGCCAGTTCAAATGAAATTTCTCTTGAAAAGGCAAGCATTCACCCTACTTCTTTACAAAAGGCAACGTCGCTGACCAACACTTCAGCCATAAAAAACCTAAGTATGTGCCCTTACAGGATGCCCAGACAAGAGAACTTGAAAAGGCATGCACTGAGAAACTAGTATCTCCCCAACTCCATATTCCTGTAGTCAGGGTCTCTATCTTTCAGCAAGCTAAAAACTTGAGGCTTTGGACACATGCCCACAACCACACCCAAGGGAGCTGTGTCCAAGTTCCTACTTACAAGATAAAAGGAATATGGGAACCCTCTCCACTGCTGCTGATACATGGTCTACTCAATAGAGAAAAACGAATTCTAATGAGCAGTCCGTCAGCTGAAAGGGTTGGGTGCTGTATAAAGACATGTGCTGGTACCCTCGAAAAACAAGGTAGCAGCTTGTAACCCACCATGGCTTGCCCCCTTTCCACCAATGGTCCACCTCCCTTTAGCAGTGATATACAGTAGTAGTATCCAAGCTAAGATGCTCTACAGAGCACACAGGCCCAGAAAGCCAGCCAATTCTGCTGTATAGGAAGTGGCCACTAGCCAACTGCACCCCTTCCATGACATCATTGGTTCACACTGCACCTACCATGTTCTCAGCACTCATCTTCCTGCCTTTGTGCCATTTTACAGTATCTCTCAGCCTCCCTGAGTGCCATATTGTGGTGATGGAGCTAGGGGCAGTCTGGGAGGATTTTAGCACAAACATACAAAAGTAAAAACTGTAGTCAAATAAAGGGGGAGCACACAAGGACATTTTTGGCCAGGAAGGGGGTGGGTGGAAAGGGGGACCTGCCCACTAACCCATTACGGACCGTTGGGCACCAGCAATAGAAGGGCTTCAACAGAGGTGCTCACCAATCTTTCCAGCAGCAGTAACAACTCTTCCCCCCCCCCCAATCTTCTGGAAAGTTCAAACTTCACCTGCCATAAGGATTTGCAGAGATACGACTCCCCAGCTTGGTGTCACTGCCCTGGACAGGTCACCAAGGCAATATCATTGCACAGGGTCCCATTACACAGAGACCAGTGCTGAAGGGAAACATTATAAGCAGTTGTGTGTCCAGTACAGTGTCAGGATACGGTTCCTCTAAGCCAACTGTTGTAGGCAACAGATACAGATAAGCCAGTCTTCTAAAGCCACATGGTACCTTGAGGAAAAACTAGCTAAATTTTTGTGCCAAGACATCACCTTAGGACATTGCCAAAAAAAATACCCTGCAAACTAGGCCCATCTTCAGTTTTTTGCCTAGTGTCCAATCAACTGAAGGTGGCAGCCTAACTATGACAATGGATAAGAAGATACCCTGTGTCCCGGGACATACGATAAAGCAACCCCCACCTCCCCACCCATGTCTCCTATATTATTATACAGTATTTATATAGCACCAAAAGGTTTGCTCAGCGCTGTACAATAGCAAGGGGGACAGAACATGAGACAAGACAGAAACAATACAAGAGGGGTTCTATATAGGGCTGCTGTGCTGCTAGCAGTTGCTCAGTAGAATCTCGGCTGCATATTTCCACCCGAAAAACCCAGTAAAAGCAATGGTCATGTGACCAATTCAAAATAAATATTCAATAGGGGTGTTTGGAAGCAAATTTTACACTTTAATAACAGTATTTTTTTTTCCACCTGCTGTTACTGTGGCATATTTTTTGTTTGTATAAACCTTACATCTGCTTTGCTTATCCTTGTGTTGAATGACTAAAATACATTGAAAAAACAAAAAACAAACCACACTTTTGGACATTTTATTTACAAAACCATTTAGCTGAACAAAGCTGAACTAAAAAAAAAAAGAAAAAAAAAGGAAAAAAAATCTGCAGTAAGATGGAAATATAGAATTAACGAGGAATTGCTGTGTGGAACTTGACATCCAGTTAAAGAAAACAAAAAAAAAAAAAAAAAAAAAAAACACACACACAAAAGCACTATGGGAGGGGGAAAAAAGGAACCAAGAGAGCCATGGTATAAAGGGCCAAGAAAACTAACACAGTAATGGGTGGACCTACCTGTATATTTAGGGGGGAGAAAAAAAAAAAATTAAAAAAAAAAAATTAAAAGTCCCACACCAAACTTCTCCACCTAAGATATTGGTCAGGACACCACTGCATGGAAGTGTCTATATCCTTAAAAATCTTGCCAAAGGTTTCTGCAATTCTTCTGTTGGAACAGGGATCTACCGTGAGTGAAAGTTCTTAATAAACTATGAATACTGGCAATATCAAGATGGGGACAGAGTGCAAAAAGGTTTCATTACAATGAAGCCTTTACCTACCTGTGAAAGTTCAAAATAAAATAAAAACCTTTTAAAATGGTTGATACAACAGTCCCTGAATGCATCACAAATATGACAGGACTGGGTGAGGGGTAAGGTCAGATGTATAAAGACCTGACCACCTAGCATAATTCAAAAGCTTTCTAGTGTAGATGGCCACAACTACCAACAAAGCAAGCTATAAAAAGACTGGTCCTGACACCCTTGATCACACTGAACATGAGGTACTGAGACTGCTCCCTCAACTTCAGTTCAGCTTACAACTTCAAGCTTCAGTTCAACTTACTCAAGATAAACAAAAACGGGAAATTGACAAAAGTACATTACAAAACTGAAACCAGCTCAAAAGACAAAAAAAAAAAATGCCATCCAACTACAGGCTCACTTTCGAGAGGGAGGAGGTGGAGGTGGGGGAGGGGGTGGGTACTGATAACTGGCTGCTTGATTCATGTAGTTCAGTAAAGAGGCCCCGGGCGGGGCGAACTGCTGGGACATCAGCGGCTGTGGTGCTTGACCGTATGCTGTAGCACCATAGCTGCCCGGTGCCCCTGCTGTAAAAGCGCCCTGCCCGTAGCCATACTGGGTAGGTTGAAAGTTTGTATTCTGCCCTCCATAGCCATATCCCTGCCGACCTTGGTCCCTTCCAGTCCCATTGCTAGAAAGTCCAACATCTCTGTTGTTCCGCATATCACGTCTGCCCATTTCTTTGCCACGCATTCTTCTCTCGCATTCTTCTTGGTACATCATGTTTGGGTTGTTATTAGTGGGAATAGTGCGGTACCTAGAGCGGCCACCTAATAAACAAAAAAAAAAAATAAAAAAATAAGGAATTTTGCAGACCACAAATTTTTACGAAATAGACAAATATTAACTACTTCAACTGCCCACAGTACATTTACTGCAGGTGGGCAGGCAGAAGCAGGCTGGATCATGTACGTTATCCAGCCCAGTTAGGGGCACACATGCGGCCACACGTTGCCAACCCCTACTGTCACTGGCTACATCAGGATTTTGTCAACATGTCCTGGCCAATGATTTATGGCAGTAGCCAATCACAACACAGAGCCCTATGTTTACAAAACACACAGGGCTTTGTACAAAGATCTGCGGTCTGGCTGTTTCTTCTCCCTGCTTAAAAAAACAGCCAGATCTGTAAGTAAAATCAGTACATATTACACTTGTTAGGCACAGTTAACTCCTTTGATTGCCCCTTGATGTTAACCCCTTCCCAGCCAGTATTAGCACTGATCACTGTATTAGTGTCACTATTGATTTCAGTCAGTGTATTTTCCAGCCTGTGTCAGCTAGTGTCAGATTTCTCACCACACTATTACAGTTCCACTAGAAGTCACGGATCACCACCATTACTAGAATAGCATCATAGCTGTGTAAATTCCAGTATATATACACGCACCATAGTTTGTATTATAATATTATGTAAAACATATATAATATTATGTAATATTTTTTGTTTTTTTAAACAGACATGTATTAGAATACAATTTTGGCCTAAATTTATGGAGAAATTTGAGGTTTTCATTGGATAGGTTTTTAAACAGTAGAAAATGGTTCTTTCCAAAATGTTCGGTCTTTGTTCGTCTATATAATAAAATATACAACCCAGTGGTGATCAAATACCTTCAAAAGAAAGCTCCATTTGTGTGTGTGGGGGGGGACTGATATTTGATTTGCATTCAGCGTTGTGCGACTGCTCAATTACCAGTGAAAGCAGCATAGTGCTGAATAGCAAAAAATGCCCTGCTCATGAAGGAGGTAAAACCTTCCATCGGTCAAGTGGCTAAATTTCCTATCTTTTGTAAGCTGGAATACACACAGCAATTCACCAGAAAAAAAAACAAACTGTCTACTAAACTACAAAAAAACAAACCATCAATAGCTCAATTCTCCATTGTGAAAAGCAAGTCCTAAAAACAGAAGAACTCCACTCTCATCTCTGTCTAACTTCAACTGGTGCTTGGCGGAAAACGTTGTTGCTCATTTCCCGCCCTCTACGGGTGTGTCTCCAAATTAACACTAAAGTAAGTGCAAGCAGGCACACTGTCTCTGATGTCCAGCCTCCCACAAGACCCAGCGACTGTCAGACGTTCCTCTGGGTTACAGGCAAAGTCATTCAGTTACTGCATCTTTTGTGGTGAGCACAACATCCATACAGACACACACGTGTTTAAAATAATAATAGCAGTGTGTTGAAAAGAGTGAATAAAGCTCAAAATCCTTCTAATAGCTTTTATTTCCATACACACAAATGCATTGGGAACACTACACATTCTATTCCAAATCAAAGCATGAAGAAAAATATATCAAATTTGTGTTGTTCCTCTAAAAAAAAAATTTAAGAAAAATGATTAGACTGTTCAAAAAAATAGCAGTGTTTGTATTCTTTACAAACTCAAACATTCACTATATAAACTGGAAAATGTTTGAAGATTTTGCTTTCCTTTGAATCACTTAATGAATATTTAGTTGTATAAGCACAGTTTCTGAGAACAGCTGTACATCTGTGTTGCATGGAGTCAACCAACTTCTGGCACCTGTGAACAGGTATTCCAGCCCAGGATGATTGGACTACATTCCACAGTTCTCTATTTCTTGGTTTTGCCTCAGAAACTGCATTTTTGATGTCACCCCACAAGTTTTCTATTGGATTAAGATCCGGGGATTGGGCTGGCCACTCCATAACGTCAACCTTGTTGGTCTGGAACCAAGATGTTGCACGTTTACTGGTGTGTTTGGGGTCGTTGTCTTGTTGGAATACCCATTTCAAGGGCATTTCCTCTTCAGCATAAGGCAGCATGACCTCTTCAAGTATTCTGATGTATTCAAACTGATCCATGATCCCTGGTATGCGATAATTAGGCCCAACACCGTAGTATGAGAAACATCCCCATATCATGATGCTTGCGGTTTTCACAGTGTACTGTGTACTGTGGCTTGAATTTAGTGTTTGAGGGTCGTCTGACAAACTGTCTCTGGCCACTAGACCCAAAAAGAACAATCTTACTTTTATCAGTCCACAAAATGTTGCGCCATTTCTCTTTAGGCCAGTCAATGTGCACTTTGGCAAATTGTAACCTCTTCTGCCTGTCTTTTTTTCAACAGTGGGACTTTGCGGGGGCTTCTTGCAGATTGCTTGGCTTCACATAGGCGTCTTCTAATTGTAACAGTACTCACAGGTAACTTTAGACCTTCTTCGATCTTCCTGGAGCTGATTGTTGGCTGAGTCCTTGCCATTTTGGCTATTCTGCTATCCATTCGAATGGTAGTTTTTCGCTGTCTTTCAGGTTTTGGTTGCCATTTTAAAGCATTTGCAATCATTTTAGCTAAGCAGCCTATCATTTTCTGCACTTCTTTATATGTTTTCCCCTCTCCAATCACCTTTTTAATCAAGGTACGCTGTTCTTCTGAACAATGTCTGGAACGACCCATTTTCCTCAGAATTTCAGAAAGAAATGCACTGTAACCAGCATGTATAACATTTCATGCCTTCCTTCCTTGAAAAACAGGTGGCAATTATTGCCCTTATTTAATGAATGAATGAGCTCACTAATAGAACTCCACACTGCTATTATTTTGAACATGCCCCTTTCAATTACACAGAATCAGCAGCATGCATGTCATGACTGTTGGATTGGATTTCTATTACTCCACTACATTAAATTATTTGCCATGTAGAAATATCATTTCTACCAAAAACAGTGATTGATCAGGTTAGTGATGTCTGACTGCTATTATTTTGAACACAACTGTGTGAGGGGGGGGGGAGAGAGGGAGAGGGAGAGATAGAGATTCATATGGGCAAGGAAGAAAAAAAAAAAAAAAAAGAAGAAAAGAAAACCCACCACACCCTTTTTTCTGCTCTGAATGCAGTAGGAAGTGTGCTCTATGAGCTCTGCATCCTGTTTGGCACCTCGTTCGCTGGCTACAACAGCATCTCGGGTCCCCAGAGTGTGCTCTGAGCCCCCTGCTTTCACTTGGTTCCCCTGATTATCCTGATCTGAGATGGCTAAAAGGGGGAAAGAAAAATCGGGCCTTGCCTGAGTCGGCTGGGCAAGATGGCAGTAACCTGATCCGTGCATCCAAGGAGAAGCCGAGGGAGGCTGCACAAAAGTTCTTTGCCATGCCGCTCACCAGGGAAACTTCCCAGAAACTACTTTTGGTCTCCGCTACTGATCGGACAGACTGTACACAGATCCCTTCCCTCTTGCACTGGCAGACCAAGAGATCCCATCCTGCAGTCCCACAGTGATTATCCCTCCATCCCAGTCTCATTGGACAAAGCCTGCTGTTTCTATTGCAGATCATCCTGAACCCACCCTTAGAGAAACTCTACATGCGCCTCATCTGTGGCGGTTCTTACTGAGGAGGTGAAGGGGATGAGGATGGAATTGACCCTGGTGCGTCAAGATATGCAGAAAATGCAGGATCGCACTGCGGCCTTGGAGGGGAGAGAGTACCCTGGAAGAGGATTGGCAACCATTACATAGGGAAGTGCGATATGTGCAATCGATCGCTTCTACTAATACCTCTAGATTGGAAGTTTTGGAAAAAATCGGTTACAAGGAAACAATGTGCGCGCTGAGGGTAAAAATCCTGTAGCCTTTATTGAAGCTTGGCTGACCTCTGGCCGTGATACATTCTCCCCCATGTTTGCAGTAGAACGTGCAGAGTCCCAGTACGTGCTCCTCCCGGTCGGCGCTCCTCCTCGGCCCTTTTTGTTCAGAAACCTCAATTAATTGGAACAGAGATACCATTCTCTCCAGGGCCACAGGCAAGGGTAACCTGTCAGTCGATAATGCTCAAGTATCCTTATTTCCAGATTTTTCCGTGCAAGTTCAAAAGCAACGTACAAAATTCCAGGATGTCAAGAGGCGTCTTCAGGCATTGGGCCTTCAATATGCCATGCTATAACCGGCTAAACTTTGCATGCTTGCGGATGACACTTCTCACTTTGATAATCCTAATGCAGCCTTGCAGTGGTTGGATGGAGTGGAACAATAGACCAGATGCGATTTCTCCTGCGCTCTAGGGCCCAGACCGGTGGCAAGTAGATGGAACCAAAACCAGAAAAAACGACCACCAGTGTATTTAAAGGTTGTGGCAGCTCCAAAACAAGACTGGGGAAGCCCGACCGATACTGCAAAGTGAAACAAAAAACAAGAAGCGCACCAACCTTGCGCAATACCTCAGTAACCAAATTTATTAAATGAAGAATGGTACTCACAAACAGCGAATAAAATCTGGCATGTAGTCCTCGAAGGGACTTCAGAGATAAGGAGCCAGCGCGAATCCCATCATGGGGGTAGACATTCAGTACAGCTGACGCGTTTCGAAGGCCATTCCTTCTTCCTCAAGAGCATGGCCTTCGAAACGCGTCAGTGGTACTGAGTGTCTACCCCCATGAGGGGATTCGCGCTGGCTCCTTATCTCTGAAGTCCCTTTGAGGACTACATGCCTGATTTTATTCGCTGTTTGTGAGTACCATTCTTCAATTAATAAATTTGGTTACTGAGGTAATGTGCAAGGTTGGCGCGCTTCTTGTTTTTTGTTTCACTTTGGAGTGGAACAATGCCTGGCAAACTCCCCTGGAATCTGACCTTGGGGACCTGGTTCATCCTTAAGTGCCTACGCCCCAGCGTAGCAGAACAGCGGGGTATTGTTCTAACATTTCCTTCCGTTTTTGTATCAGATTTTTTTTCCAGCTTAATTTGGGGCTCCTCCCCTCTTGGGCATTTCTTACATTTACCTGCTGTGTGCTTGTCCACGAGACACTGTGCAA